CCCCCCAACTTGTACACATATAAGCAGGGCTTTGAAGAATTGGGGGAAATCACTATTTTTTCACTCTTTATTACTATGGAAACTATACTGATTAAGTGATCATGAATATGCATAACGGGGGGGTGGGGAACGTGAGCTCACCCAGGCCTTGAAAGAAAGGAAGAGGCGCCATAAATATTTAGGGTTGCATAAAGCTATTTCCAGAAACATGCTAAGTTGTATTATTTTTGTTCTTTTATCTGCGGTCAGTGCAAATTACTATATGTAAACAGTGGCAGGGTAGAATTTTATTTTTTTAAAAAAAACAGAGTTCTTTCCTAATGGCCATTATGCATGGTTATTAATTTATTTTTTGTGTGGGTTTTGTGTTTGTGTGCTTGCATGCCTGGAAGTCATGGTGACTTCTGGAGACCCCTAGTGGGGTTTGGACATTTCAGAGGGGTGGCTTGATTGCCTGCCTCTGCGTCCCAAGCAATGTTCCCTCCAAGCTGTGGATTCTCGTGAGCAAAAATTCTGCTTTGTGAACTACTGGCATTAACGTTGTGAGCAAGCAATTTGGCTGTTGCATAAATTAGTTTGCTCTGGAGCTATCTTTTCTGAGCTAAGACAAAAAAGTGTGAGCCAAAGCTAAAAAACCGAGCTAGCTCACACTAACTCAGCTTAGAGGGAACACTGATCCCAAGCCCTGGTATTTATTTATTTATTTATTTATTGCATTTATATCCCGCCCTTCCCTTTGATGGGCTCAGGGCAGCTTCCAACAATAAAATACAATACAGTTAAAACATTTTAAAACACAGTTTACATTTACAAATACAATGTGACATCGCATAATACAGCTCTGGTAAAAACCAGATGCTGGTTAAATGATCTTTCAGTTTTTGTTTGGAGATCTTTAAAATTTAGGATCTCAAAGGACCCAGGCTACTGAATGGAGGAAACCCAAGGAGGAGGGGGACGCCCGCTGCCTCAACCAAAGGCCCTTGGAGGTCTCCCTTCCAATGCCTTGCCAGGGTCAGCCCTGCTCAGCTTCCAAGATCTGACAAGATTGGGCTCGCCTGGGCTATCCAGGTCAGGGCTATTATGCATGATTGTTGCTTGTCACCTTTTAAGGGCTTTGCCACACACTGTAACAATTGCTCCTAAATCTGATTTAACCCCTGTAATGGCAAATTACAGGAATTTATGCCCAATATTCTCTCAGATCCCCATTTGTCTTATTGCTGCTACTCCTAATGCTGGGGAAAAACCCCTCTCCTGGAAACACCATAATAGTTCCTAGCTGTTTGCCAAATTATATTTCTTTGGGTTGGGGAAGGAAGGAAGTGAAAAATCTGATGCTTCTCCGAGTTGGTTGTTTTCATTATTACTTGAACTACGGACTGAATCCATGGCTATAGTCCTATGCAGTGTGAGTGGAGTGGAGCTCTTCACAGATGGTTACTTTCCTGTTTCTCCATGCTTGCTGCAGGAGTGTGAGTGAGTTTCAGCACTGGTGCATCTGCTTTGGATGCAGAAAGTCCTAGAGACCCTAGCATCTCCAGTTAGAAGGGTCAGATAGAAGGTGAAGTGAAAGACCTGAACCTGAGACCCTGGAGAGCTGCTGCCGGTCAGAGTATATGATACTGACCTTAATAGACTACAAGTCTGACTCACTTTAAAACAGCTTCATGTGTGTCTGTGCCATGCCTAAAGTATGTCCCCCTGGGAGCCCCAGGAACATCATAGAGTGGGTTCCCATCTTAGATTAAGTCTCTAGAGGTGCAGTGGTCCTCAAAGATAACCGTTTAGTTACCAGTTCATACCTTTCATGCTTTGTACAGCCAAGGCTTTGGAACTTAATGCCTTCTTAGTAGTTCCATGTTTCAGAATTGCATTGATAGTGCCGTATAGTCATCTTTAAAGCATATAGAACATGCCTCTATTGGTAGAAGTCTTGAATAACTACATTATGAATACTTTGTGGTATTAAAAACGTCTTCATCTTGAGTCAGATCTGTCACAAGACTTGCCCTAAAGCTTTCCTTTTTTTAAAAAAAGGAAAAGACCCTTAAGCTTTTGTAACACCATTCGTTACAAGGCAGAACTGCAATAAGAACCTCAAGCCCCTATGAGTGAGT